GCCTGCGTTACCTCCMTCTGCAGTCAATGGCCGTCATAGACAAAGGGACGGTATATTTAAAATGGTGAGGCTAAACGGTTGGATGAAAATCCAATTTTGCCACACAATCACTAGAGACAAGCCAAGGTTTGGTTTACATTAAGTCAATGTGAAGTGGTCACAACACTATAGTGATTAAATGTCAAGTCCTGATCGCTGCTGCCATGCTGTTTGCTGATATTTAAAGGCAGAAAAATACAAACCATTGAGATGTAAAAAGTCAAAATAATAATTCAGCGCAAACACTCACATGTCCATTACAACTATGAAGATAAATTATGATTAAAAAATAACTTCGATATGGCTTCTAAGCTTCAATAGTTTGAACAAAGATCATGTAATGAGCCACTGACGATGAGCTTGACTGGTTTGTGGAAATTGCCAGAAAAAAAAACCCGGTGGGTAATTAAATCTGAATTTCATTATTTTTATGTATATTCCACTGCAGCTTTCAGACAGAGCGTCACTAAAGACACGGAAAGCAAAACCAGGGCCAGAGTAATGCCACAAATAAATCCTGGTCTCAGACTAATTTTGACAACCTAATTCTGAAACTCATAGTTTTCAAAATAAGAGTTATTATATGGACCATTTCACTTTGACAATCAAGAGTTTTTATTTTAATTTTTTTTTATTTTTGTCAAGTTGCCAGAGTAGGGTTAGAGTTTTAGTTTAACATACAAACAAAAAAGGTAAGAAAAAATAATAAACAAAAAAGACAAAAACCAGGAAAATTAACAAAAAGCATTGGATTGTCAGGAAATGGTCTCGGAAGGATCAAAGTGCAGACTGGAACATGAGGGCTGGAGAAGTTAGACTTAAAAAAACAGGCAAATGATAAGCAGTTGAAAAAGGTAGCAAACACTTATCAATGAGAGGAAAATGAGGAGAACAAACAGTATGACTGTGCGATACTGAACCAAGAATATGAAGCTGTATTCATACTTGRCAAGAAGTTAAGAAGTCTGCTCTCGCTGACGTTGTTGTGAGATATGGACCTTCCATTTTCCACAAGAAACTGCAGCATAAGACCTTAGGGAAGCCCTTCCTTCATTATACTGAATTTTGTTTTGCTTTACCTTCTTTTCACACGTTCTCTGACCATCTTTTACAAGTTTGCTGGAACAGTTTTAAAGATGGCTGCGGTTAACAGCCTCAACCACCTGATCCATGAAATTCAGACCAGTCACACAATAGTTGGCATAAATCATTGTGAGAAAAGGTTTTGCCCAGATATTGGGCTCAGAAAGGGTTTTCAGAGTTCATGTGAACAAMCTTCTTCTTTGTATGTATTGGCAAACAAAAAAAAAAGGTGCATTACCAACTGATAAGGAATGTGTATCAGGAACAAAACAAAACAAACCGAACTGAACCAAACAAAAACCGTGCCAAATTGAACCAAACCGAACAGAACAGAACAGAACAGAACAGAACAGAACAGAACAGAACAGAACAGAACAGAATAGAACACTAGCTAGATTTTTTTTTATTTAACCCAGTAACCATTAGACAATGAAAAATGATCATAGATCAAATTTTATTTTCCTAATAATGTCATGCTTTGGGCGGCTCCATCAGTTCCTGCCCCTCTGTCACTCTCACTCAGCTCCTCTGATTACTCCATTCCTCCTCACCTGTGCCACAGCAATCAGCCTCATCTGCCTCACCTGTCCTCCCTCCTACTTAGGCTCCTTTCCCTCACTCAGCCTTTGCCAGATTATTGAACGGTTCGCCCAGTAGATCTCCAGCGCTTTATCCATGCCCATGCCTGATCTCTTGTGTTGACCCACTTCCTGTCTCCCGATCTCTGCCTCCTGCCTGTTCCTTGCCTGATACTGACGCTGACTCTGATCTCTGGCTTTTGGCACTGTTTCTGTTCTCTGGACCCTGCCTTTTGGATTACGATTTGGATTTGTTTCTGGCTCTCTGATCACCTGGCTCTGACCTTGGACCGCTCACTGGATCCCCTGACCCCTCTTGCTTCCCCTGGACCCAAGTCCTCTGGGACCAACTTCTGTGGACTCACCCAGGCTAATGTGTCTACAGTTAAAGGTCAGTAGCTACTTTCTATTTTTGCAAATCCACCAGCCTTAATCCTGACACTCACCAGTGTTCTGCTCCACAGAGTGTGCCACCCAGAGGGTCCAGAGGTTCCTCACATAACAGTGAAATAATAAACCTGTTTTTGTCTTCAGTGGTCCTGAATCCAAAAACCCCTTCTGACAAATAATTTAATAAGGTTTTATTGTTTATTTTTCTTCAAGATTTTTTTTGTCATTTCTGTTTGTTCTTTCTGATATTTTCTACAGACAACCATTACATGTTCTATGGTTTCACTTTCCCCACAAAAMGGGTTGTATTAAGTCCTGAGTGTAGCTGTGACCTAGTTATTAATCTTTCCCAACTCTTCTAATTTCTCCAACCTACCTTTGAATTCCAGAACCATCTTCCTTTTATATTCTCKTCCCCCTGTTTTTGCCATTTTCCCYTAATTTACTCTTTRATATTGTTTTTAGTCTCTGAATATGACTCTTATTTTGATTTCATTCTTCCTTGCAGAATATTTGACCTGATCTGTCATTTCATTCCCTTTCACCTCTTCRTGTGCAGGAACCCAGAGAAACACCACTATGAACCCCACCATCTGAATCTGGTATTTGATAAATGTCYATTAGAATATCAGGACAACTTTCTGAGTGATTTCTGATTAATGATGAGTTTGAATCAGAGCAGATAACAGCTCTTAATGGTTTTGTTTCTTCAATCCATTTATTGCTAGAAATAATKCAACCATTTCTGCTGTGCAAACAGATAGTCCTTCATTTAGTTTCTTTTCTATTTTAATTTYAAATTCTGGAAATRTGACTGCTACCCCAGTATGACCTGGTGGACTCTGGGATGCATCTTTGTAAGCTTTCACACAATCATACTTCTATATAAACTCCTGTACTATTAYCGTGTTACATACGAATGTTCTGTTTTCCTTCTGTGTAATATAGTTAATTTAACATTGGGATTTACTGCTCTGTCCATCTCCCAGCAGGGCTGTAAAGTTACCTGTCTACAGGGTATCCCTGCAGGTTAACCCAGTCATTTAATGAGAGCTGATTCCTCTGTAAAACCATCTCTACCTGTAAATCTGAAGTTGTTTTAATCAGTGTGCATTGCCAATGCAATGCAYACTATTGTGATCCGTTTCCCATCCAAGTCATCTCAACTTTGCCATGCTTCTCCTCCTGCATACTTTGTCCTAGAGCTGCCATTGTAATTTATATCTGTAAAGCTCCTGTGCCAAATGATGGCTATGCCTTTTGGTGCCTGTAAAACCTATAGTTTTTGAAATATTAATGTTTAATAAATTATAATGGCAGTCAATGCAGCCTTGTATTGGCCCAATACTGCCCCCTGCTGCCTCTACACAATATGGTACTGCACCATAGTTTAATAATATTTAAACTCAGTAGTTCAGTGATTACAATATTAATATGAYTGTATTTTGGTGTTTTACTGTAATACTGTCTTTATGTTGTCCTATTGCTGTAATATATTGCACTTAAGTGTCAATAATTGCATTGGCAAGGTAAACTTTTTCTGTATAAATACAACCCAATCCCTGGGATTGTCCTCTGCCACATCTCCTGTAGTCTCATGATGAGCACTGTGGGCTTTCATGKGGGAGATCAGGGTTCAAATCCAGCTACTGCTACTTTAACAAAAATCTCTGCAAACTTCATATTGTCACACAATTACCTTAATTAAAAACACCTGCTGACGTGACAGGCACAAGCTGGTTTAGAAAACATATTTGATCCTGGTCAAAGCTCATTCTGCAAGTCTAATGCTGCAGGCAAAGTCATGCTACATGGCAATGCACACTTGTTTTTACATCATAAAAACCCATGTCTAGTTGAACCTGTAATTAATATCAACACCTGATATTGAATAAAATCTAGTTTCCTGACAGCTGTATCAGAAGCAGATCCATAAAATGAGTCTATTGTTGACCTTGTCAGGTTTTTGTAAATCAATTTTAGGGCTTGTCTGTCTGCTCGCCATTTACATCCAACTAAACATTTTATTAATTTTTTTCTTACATTTATCAATAGGTAATTTACCACATTCCCATTTAATTCTAATGAGATCAACTTGGAATACTCACTAAGTTTATTTATCATTACATATCTTATTTTATCACGTCCTTTCCTTAGTGCACGTCTTTAATCATGTATTGAAAAATGCTTATTTTTCTTTTAGACATTTTCTCTTCTCTTTTTCTAATATGGTTGCTTCTCTTCTCTTCCTCTACTCTTCACTAATATCATACATGGTAAGTATCTTGACAAATGTTTGAGCCAACATTATGGCTCTTTCTTCATTGGTTACTGCCATTATTTCATCTTTAATTAAAACTGGGTAACCATAATCCTTTATTATTCATTCGGTTTATCATCTTCCAGACTTTCCCTATTTCTGCTTCCCTTCCCAAAGAGTTACAAAACCTTCTCTAATATTTTCTTTTTGTGTTTCTCATAACTCTGGTTTGCATCTTTTTGTATATAATAAGATTCTGAACATTTTGATTTCTTTTTAATATTTTAAAAGCTATATTTCTTGATTTTTCAGTCTGGTTGCATTCTTTTGTCAACCATGGCAATCACATGGATTTTTCACTTCTTGCAGAGTATGAGTCTAGCTTTGGAGGAGTGATTACAAGCAGTGACAGCTGAGATTAATGAACATGAGKAGCAGGTGTGCACGGTTAAATGGGGGCAGGAATGACTAAAGGAAAAATGGCTGATAACACATGGAGGCTCTGGGAAATWAAACAAAGAGATGAGTCTAAAAAATCCTGACATTAAGTTTGTAATTKAATTTAAAAGGCTGCATTTACAGTTTTGTTATGCTGGGTTCAAGAAAAGAAAAGTGCATTTTTTTTTTATTGAAACAAGAGATCAAAAAAGTTTGTTCAAATTAGGGTTTAATAAATTAAAGTAATCATGCACAAGTGGTGTACAAAAAACATTACAGTACAAAATTAATTTCACAAACAACTTTGTTTAAAACAGTAAAAACGTTACTATCAGGTAAAATCATCAGTGTTCACACATGAAAACGGTTCATTCCACTAAAGAACTGCAGCTCACGTAACAAACGACTGAGCAGATAAAAAAATACAGCGTCGTAAAAATGACTCAAGAAAACTTAGCTTATTTTTACATCCAGATGTACAAAGTTTGACGGAAGAAACTGCACCGCAGGCAGCCAGGAATGTGAACAAAAACATTACAGACCAGACAGAAAGAAAACCACGAGGCTAAACGGCTTCAACTCATGCTAAGTTACGACTAAAGAGTTTACACGATGCATGTCAGCTTCAGAAAATCCCCCGACAAAAATGGGGAGACACTGAATTTGTACGAGAGTCATCCGCACCCAGTAAAACGAGGGTCGTTGATGTTAGGGGCACTCATAAATGTACACAAAGAGTCCTTCCTTACACAAAAAAATGTTGTTAGAGAATTGTTGTGCAAAAGTCCTGATGGGAGTTTAAAAGAGGCCCTCTTCGTTTTTAATCAGCATCTCCACCACCTGCCTTTGGTAGCGGATGTCATTCAGAGCTGTCATGGCGTCCTGGTTGGGTGCTCGCATGAGGGTGGGCCCGAAGATGATGCCCAGGTTCTCTGCGTTCATCAGATTAAATTTCTCATTCTGTGTCACCCTGTAATCAAGTCAGAAACATGCACAGTACCAGGCATTAGAAGAGGTTTGATGACTCCCCTGCAGGGCTGACGTTTAAAATGAGGAACTAAGACATCTACCTTTTTAAATGGGCCATGAGGTATTTGAGAGTGTCTTTGTGAGATTCAGGCAGCAAAGCCAGAGCCTCACGAAAAGCTTCCAGCTTCTTTTCTGGATCCGTGAGTTCTGGCAAACAGAAAGAAAAGAAGTGATTAGCATGAAAAAAAAATCCTGACTGAAATGGTGAAATGTCCTGATGCTTCTCAGTAATCCAGGCAAAAAATCAAAGGAAAAAAAATTGTATAGGTCCTCTGGACGGGTTCTTCGTTAATGAAACGTTTCGTCTCTCTTCCAAGAGACTTCTTCAGTCTGAGAGTTTCAGGCAAAATTCAGGCTTTTGAGTCCTGCCTCRAGGTGACTGATACTCACATCACATGGCTATCGTTCACAGGTGACTCATACTCACATCACCTGGCTATCGTTCACCCTAATTAATACCTATTGTTAACAGGGGGTGGAGTGATACTGGCAATGGCGGCGCTGTAGCAGGGGGACAACTGAAAACGGAGGCCTCCACCTCTGTTTAATGATGGACGGTCTTTCTTTACAAAAATGGCTTCTTTTACTCCTCTCTCAAACCAACGTTCCTCTCTATCAAGAATGAGAACATCCTCATCTCTCAATCTCAAAAGCCTGAATTTTGCCTGAAACTCTCAGACTGAAGAAGTCTCTTGGAGGAGAGACGAAACGTTTCATTAAAGAAGAACCCGTCCAGAAGACCTATACAATTTTTTTTCCTTAAATGGTGAAATGGTTTGAAAGCTATCTAAAATAAATAAATAAATTCATTAAAGGGGGTTCCTGGATGGAGAGAGGCAGCTAAAGAAGGACAAAATAACAAGAAACAAAATCATTACAAAAACTGAAAAACAACCAGGAACACAAAACAAGTTTGAAAAACAAGACCACAAAACCCATAAAGACCTGCAGACAAAGACRGGGACAATAAGACATTAAAAAGAATACCAAATGAGAGAAAATGACTGCAAAACTATGAAACAACAACTTCCACATAGCTGCACACTGAGACACTTTTGTCGTATATGTTCACTTTAGTTTTCACTTGGTACAAGAAAATTGGTTGAAAGGTCATGAATCATTGTTTTACTCGCTCTTTTGGGGCCTCAGTTAGAAATGAAGAATTCAATTCCGAAAGAAAAATAAAGTACTTGGTGTAAAATGTAAATAAAATGTAATTTTCAAGTCTCATAAAGGTTGTATGAACAGGAAACAGTTTGGACAGCTTTTTCTAACTAATTTGAGAGAGAGTTGAATCTATCTGAAGTAAAGATGGGCAGAAGTTCAAAAATATTCTAACAATCTAAAACAAGTGGAATAATTTCAGAAAAATGTTGAATATCCTACTATTTCCACTAAATGTTCTTTATACATTAACAGTCTGTTGTTATCAAAAGAGGTGCTGTCTCCCATTTTTTGCTTGAGACATGTTACCATCAAACTCAAATATGTGACCCATCACATCAAAAYGAGGATTAAGTCCAAAAGTGATGTTTGGAGAATTAGGCAAATATAGTGTTTTGACTAAAATGTTAACAAAAAATTGCAATTTGTTAAATATAATGAATAAATGCCTTATCAATATATCATTTGAATGAACTGTCTGAAATATAATCATAAAACTAAATTTTGAAGCACTTTTTTGAGCAGTAGCAACAAAAAAAAACTGATTTTGAGTAAAAACACCTTAAAATTTTGAGATTTTCCCTGTGAGCTAGCAAAGTTTTGTTTCTTTTCAGCTGGGAAATCTCAATATTCAAATATAATGTGAGGTTTCCTCTTTATAAAGACATCAAAAATTCCTCATTAAAAGGACATAAAAATAGGATTCAGACAAAATATTTATATATTATTTTAACCAACAAGACAAATTAAGTCATTTATGGAT